TATATTATAACATAGCAAGAAAATTAGCCTAATCAAATTCAATAGTGCGAGAGTGCTTCATATTCCTATTGAGCACGCTGATGACATCAATAAATTATTAATTCCTCGAGTTGTTGGGAGCTTAGCAATCCTGAGTCTCCTGAGTGCATCCATAACTCAGCAATAGACAATAAAGCGTTTACCATGTGTTTTATAAGGAAATTTAAGAGGAAACGTTTGAATTTGTTAACCGATAGTGAGGAAAAGAGGTGAGTGTTGTTGTTGTTGTTGTCATCTCCGCGAGCTGTGAGGGCTATAGCGTGAGATCCTTCTTTGCAAAGTTGTTTTCTCTCAATAACAATTTTTCGGTAAATTAATAGTTTTCCGGCACGTAAATATGGATTTTACAATCATTTTAGAGTACACTTTCTCTCAGTTTCAGGATAAAAACATAAGATTAATTGTGAGGAAAAAAAAATATAGTCACGTAAACATTGACGCGTACTGCTTTGAGCGCACCCAACAATAATAAAATTTTAAGTTAACTGCTGCATTGATCGCTTTGATAATGTTATAAAACAATTAGTTCATGCTGCAGCTGTGCGTATGTCGAGATATTCATGCATGAGCACTTGGGAAGTTTGGAGAGCACTCAATTACAAGAGGCTAGAGTTGCACTCGGCTGCGCCTGGTGCAACTCTTACACCTCTTTCGTGCTCTCCAAACTTCCCGCGTGCTCAAATGATATCTCGACATATGCACGCTGACTCATGAACTAATTGTTAAAAAAAGGAAACGCAATAGACCTTGTCACGGTTTTCGACGCCATCTTGACGAGTTGGCAAATGCGTGAGAAATTACAGTGTTTGTATGAGAATCCAATGTTGAATAATTCCCTAAAGCGGCTGTTCTGGAAAAAATATGAACTGTAAACTAAAGCTACACAGCAAAGGATTTTACCAACAAATTTTGGGGGTCGTTACTGTACTTAAATTTCTCCAGAAGCTTGCTTTAGATTTTCCATATATGTCTGCAATTTTTCCTAAAAAATTTTTTACAGACAAATGTATAGAAAATTTTTAAAAAAGGTTCTAGGTCTTCTAGCGCATGTTACGCCCTAAAATTTTTTCAGTAGAATCCTTAAGAGTGAAATTAAGCTTTAGTTTACAGTTCATATATTTTTTAAAACAGCCATTTTACGGAAATTATTCGACATTAGATTCTCATACAAACATAATATTGTAATTTCTCACGTATTTTGCCTACTCGTCAAAAGGGCGTCAAAAGCCATGACAAGCTCTATAGTAGAAATTATAGTTAGCCTGCTATCATTGGAGTTGCTATCACAAGTTATTTTGCTGCTGCTTATATTGCTATTTTTTGCTACTTTTGGTGCGAGTTGTCGACCAAAGTAAGTCTTTTATTTTCTTATAGTTATTTAGTAATGTAATTCACAAAAACTATAGAGTCTTACAATATTTCATGAGGAGGACATTGATTTGAAGACAAATCTGCTGGAATCAAACAGGATTGATCATTGTTACTATACAATATATTATTACCAAAGTATTTTATATAATCTAGTTTAGTGTTTTTAAGATAAGTTCTGTTCAAACAGAATTGCTACCATAGTTTTATTATTGTTTTATGCATGGTGAGAGTTTATAAATGTTATTGTCTCGGTTAATTAGCTCAAGTATCAATTATCGGATTTTTCAGTTGTCTGTTTCTTGCCTCATAGGTTTATATAGTTTAGATTATTCCACTTTTTAGTCATAATTTTATAGTTAATCTGAGTAGTTTGTGTTCGTTAATTATCGCTTACAGTTCAAACCTACGTCTACGTCTATGTTTGCTACGTCGACTATGTCTGCTAATACCTTGTCTACTGCACTACTCGCTACCACTACCATCTGTTACGTCGTAACTAGCCTACGAACATTGCTATTACACTGAATTGTTGTACACGCGTCCGCTATTGTTATGAACTCTAAGGATCTGTCATCAGTACAGAATATCCCTAAATTTAAGGAGAGGGCCAACTGGTCATGAGACACTGTTCAACCAATGAGATTAAGGCACGCTTGTGTTATCAAAACATCGACCCAATGATAAAAAATATTCACAACAGCGGACGGAGTCAGACAGATTTTAACATAAGCTAACAGTACTCATCAAGCTCTGCGGCCATGATCAATGTACTTCTGAGAAATGGTTTTTCAGGAAGTATTTATATATATATATGCGGGGTTTGTGGATTGAGGTTTTTGAAAAGATGCTTACAGGTTCTCCGATCTCTCCTCCTGCCATTTTTTGCTTGTTCGCTTATAATTCACTGCCTGCTCGTTTCTTTTAATTTGCCTGTCTGACTGACCGAGAGCCCGGCACAGGATAACATTGACTGAACTAGCTAATTATATTATTTTTTTCAAGGTCGGAATGAACTTCATTGTATCAGTTCTAAATTGAACACCAGTAATAAAATTATTTAAAAATAATAACAAAAAAGCAACAATAACAAACAACACACCACACGAAATTCTAAAAACAATTATTATTCCTTAAAATCCTACTTAAAAACCTTGCACTCAATTAGCCTTCATCCACATAATTCCTCTAATAACACTCTACACTTCGCAATCGTAGACTTTGGCACTTTAAATGTCTTCTGGTTGTGAGAAGTTATACAAAAATCTGTATGCAGAATTTTGAGATATCTCCCAATTTCTACCCAAAGGGAATGCACAAGCTGAGTACTAATGGCTTTTATGCAAACAAACCACTTCTTGGACGTTTCAGGAAAGTTTTCACCACTCATTCATTTAACAAAGTCCCTTCAATGTTTTACAGACCGCTGGATGCATGTCTGAGGTACATTCGTGCCAAATTTTGAGTTGAAAAACATAGATATATATGAATCAGGGTAAAATGCAATACTGAGCTCTTTTTGGGATTTCTAAAGCAACCTCTAAAACAGCGAATTCAGTTATTGAATCAAAATTTGTAGATGGATCTAAAAATTTTCAAAGCTGCCATTGATTAGCTAGCATATATACTACAATCCCTCACCTTGTAAAGGTATGGTCTCGCTATGGTCCTCTTCAATATTTCCTAGCAATAGCTCTGATAGCTCATCCTTTGATTTTGCTAAATGAATTATGGTCAATAAACAGAATACAATGGATACTGAAAAGACCACAATAATAGCAATGTTGAGGTTTGATTTCTCTTTGTATCGTAAGTCGTTGCATGTAAATATATTAATAGCTGCCAGCGTTGTGTTTGCTGAAAGGCAACTATACTTCGCAGGATATTGAAGTTTCTGGTAACGCAAGAACAGTCCAATCATGGCAACTAGAAGGATAAACTGATAGCAGATGTGACAAATAAACACCCAACACAGTTGTTTCTTCAATGTTTTTTGCCTTGGCTCTCTATTTGACTCTTTACGGATACGTCGCAACATCCAGACACCCACAAAAGTAACAAACAGCCAGCCAGATCCTGACAAACCAAAGGTAATACCAGCAAAGGCCAACGGTGTTAAGCGTGGACTCATGGCAGAAGTGTAGTTGTGATAACAATGCTGTCTTGTGTAGGCAGTTGGTGGGGGATCACAGTTGAATTGTAGCCTGTCTTGGTTCTCATAGCCCTTCAGTAGACCAATCACAGTGGACCAAGAAAGGAAAGAGACTGCAAAAAGACAGCCACTGAACATGGTCTGATACCTCAACGTAGCTTTGATGAGATTATCCATCACAAAGAAAGATAATGTAATCTGAAAGAAACAAAGAACACAGAAAGGTTCGAACACTGGCTAAGATAATTTGGTTATCTGTGCATCCAAGAAAATGAACCCAGTGACCCTATGAATAAATGAATGAGCCAGTCTTAACTATAGATATTAATTTTGCAATGGCTGAACAGCTAGCAGAGTGCATTTAAAAAAAATCAACAATAATGTAGAATGATGCTGACCTGACCAATACATTTTGGTGGATGGAACCCTAAGAAAACGACATCTTTACTGCCTGAAATCTGTTAGGCATCTGCATGGCCACCTCCACCATTTGCGGAGCACGTGACGTTTAAACTCTCTTGTTTTGGCTTAAAATTTGGGAAAGCAAATTTTTGTCAAAAAAATACTTATGACATGCGCATCCGAATACTATCAATTGTTTGAATTAAACCAGAGGAAGTCATGAAAATTAATGAGCATGTCAAATTAAGCAACCAAATGCTTTCAATTGATTGAATTATTTTATTTTATTTATTTGATTTTTATTTTCCAAATACACACTCTCCATCGATCTAATTATGATGATTCTCAACAAGAGAATTAAACCAGAGGAATACAAGAAAATTAATGAGCACTATTTAACCGATTCCAGTTTAATGAGAAAAATTCAGAGACACAATCATGACAAATAACAAGTACTTCAACTTGCACCATGTAAACAAATAAATTTTGTGTAAAGGGGCTGTGTGATGGCAGTCCAGTTGGTTTTGTTTAATTTTGCCAATTATTCGCCCTCAATTGCTATGGAACGTAAGCAAAGACCCTTGTAAAAATTTATTAGCGATCGCGCCGCGATCGCGGCGCGATGACCGCGATCGCGGAGCGATGGCAGCGATCGCGGCGCGATTGTGCATATCGCGGCGCGATTTAGATTAATCGCGCCCGCGATAGCGACGTGGTGATCGCGATCGCGGCGAGGTTATAGCGATCGCGGCGCGGTGATCGCGATCGCGACGCGATGATCGCGATCGCGACGCGGTAATCGCGATCGCGACGCGGTGATCGCGATCGCGGCGCGATGATTTTGATCGCGGCGCGATATCAGCGATCGCGATGCAATTGAAGTAAATCGCGCTTGCAATAGCGACGCGATGATCGCGATCGCGGCGTAGTGATCGCGATCGCGGCGTGGTGATCGCGATCGCGGCGAAGTTATAGCGATCTCAACGCGATGATCGTGATTGCGGGAAGATGATCGCGATCGCGGCGCAATTTTGAAAAATCGTATCTGCGATCCCAAGGTCAGGATTGCGATGCTGGCGATGAAATCGCGATCGCGGCGAAGTTATAACGATCTCAGAACGATGATCGTGATCGCAGGAAGAAGATTACGATCGCGGCGCGATTCAGAAAAATATTATCCGCGATCTCAGGGTCAGGATGGTGAAGATAGAGCGATCGTGGCGAAGTTATAGCGATCTCAGCGGAATGATCGTGATCGCAGGAAGATGATCGCGATCGCGAAGACAGACAGTTTTTATTTTAGCTCGATGATATTAAACGCTAAGCAGCTGATGGGGTCGTGCGATTTTGAAAAATAGTATCCGCGATGGCAGCGACATTGTACTTATCGCGGCGTGATGATCACGATCGCGGCTTGATTTAGTAAAGTCAAATCCGTGATTTATATGTCAGGACTACGATCCCGGTTTGGTAATCGCGATCGCAGGGGCATTGTACTTACTGCGAAGCGGTGATTGCGATCGCGGTGCGATTTAGTTAAGTTGTAATCGGCGATCGTCGAGTGCCATATTGCTCTCGATCGTGGTGCAGTAATCGCGATCGCCAGGTGGTGATCACGATCAATTCTAATTAAGTTCGCGTCCGCAATCTCAGTGCCATTATCGCGAAGGAGATAACCGAGGATCACAGTTATCGTCGCGATTTCTGTTATAAGTTAGTCGCATGGTTATTATTCTGTTTGAGCTCTCACGTCTTTTACGCCCCTTTTAGTCTGGTTAATAGCTCGTCTTGTTATTCCTTATCGTTCGTGACTCGTTAGTTGTTTTTTTTATAACAGGCTATATTTAATTTGGTGTTATCAGGGACCGCCTTTCCCGTTTGTTACGGGCCGTAATTCGCACTGCGTTTGCCTTTGCACCCTTTTTTCCCACACGTTAGTTGATTCACACAGTGCATTGACTCTAAGGTTTCATAATGAAAGCACTTAATATTCTCGTTATTGCTTTGGAAAACTAATCGAGGCTAGTATGCATCCTTTGGCTTACTAACAGGCTTTCCAACTTTCCAGATGGCTTTCAAACTGCCGGATATTTAGCCTGTGCGAAAACGTACTCGTGAGTCTCGAATGTTTCTAAGTGTCGAAACGGCGTCGACTCTCTGGCTCTATGCCCAAGAAACCACAACCGCTCTACTGCTAAGCCATTCCTGTTTTCCTAATCCCTTGGTAATTCTAAACGAAGATATAATACTTTCAAACGATTATATTTAGAAAAGAAGATTTTGAAGAAAATCAAAAAAACATTCTGACTGCCGTGCAGCTTAGACCCTTCCCGGCTGCCGGGCATATTATTTTATTTTTATATTCCATTATGTTGTTCTTCAAAACTTGCGATTGTGAAAATTATTAGGGCAGGCAAAATAGTAATAATATTATAATAAAACACTGGAAAGTTAAGTAACTAAAAGACCACAGAAATATATCAATATCGGGAGGTCGAACATTCGGAAAAACTATAAGCTTATAATAACAGTCATTTTCAGTTTGTTAGAACTTTATCGGTTTCTAGAGAAGGCACGGTTTTCCTTGTGTTTTTGACCAGAGTTACATTAGCAAAAAGCTAGGAAACCTTTTCTCGCTCACCTCTAATTGAGTCATTTTAAGCCCAAGGATGAATTTCTGTTACGCTCCAGGCCTTAAGCTGCTGTATATAAGGATGTAATCAACATGATTTTTACTTAATGGTCCTTAATAACAGAAATGAATCCTGCATGTACGTGACGGTTTAATCCAGAGTATTGGGGTGCGATCCATTCAACCAAAATTCCAACCGGTCCGACCGGGAAAATTGGTCCACCTAAACAGGTGGACCCGTTTTTTCGAAACTTTTCCGGTTGGACCGAACCGATCCAGAGTTTTGGACCGAAATATTCCGGAAATTTTGGTTGAATGGATCGCGCCTTTGGGGACTGGATTCCAAAATCCGATTTCCCGCCACTGCGACGCGGGTGGCCAAGATTCAAGGCTGACGCGTACCTTGAAAAAGAAAATTGCTCTCAATTTCACTTGTCATGCAATTGGCAATGGCCGTTTATTGCTGTTTAAACATTGGAAAATTTTTCTTAATGATTCTTTTGACATGTTGAAAGTTCAAACAAAGAAACGTACTCAAAAAGGTAAGTCTACTCACTTCTTATTATCACTAAGTTTAATTTTAAACCTAATTAAGGTTAAGCTTGATATTCATTCGGTGTTGTCGATTTTATACTTTCCGGCACTTTTCATAGTTTATAACACAATTAAGGTTAGCCTTTTTATTAGGCTTCTCAAACAAACAAAAGCTAAAAAAATTCGAGCTACCTTTTAATAGTTCGAGAAAGCAAAACTTCTGATTTTGGAGCCTTCGTTTTTTAGCTCATTTTTTATATCCTTCGAGGGGTGTAAGTCTTAAGCTACTTGAGCTTCACAACTCAGTGATTTGGTTTGATTTGAATATTTCAATACTCTGATTTCGGGAATAACTCTCTTGGTTAACTGGTTTTAATTTCTCAACAGGAAAACCGCTCTGGACGTACTGTGAGGCATAAACATGGCAATATACCAAGAGCCATGATGGCCTCTTGAATATTCTGCAGCAACAATTAATCTGGCAAAGACAACAGTTGTGAGTACTCAGTTTGTACATTATGTAAATTTCAAAGGTAACGTTTAGGCTGAAGACAAAACATGTGGGACGTCACATTAAATTGGCTTAATAAAGAAGTATGGAGAATTTCAGTGAGAATATTTAAGCACGGTAAATGAACATGAAACATATCATTAGCGTGAGGAAAAAAGAAAAAATATTTTTATCCCTAATAGGATGAACCTATCTGAAGACATGGACAAGTGGATCAAAAGAAAAGAAATCAATGCATATAGGCGGTTTCATTATCTCAATACTTCAGGATATAAAACGTTTTACTCTGCTCACACTTAGCTAAAAATAAAAAACACGATTCACTGAACTCTCGCATCAGACCTTTCTTTTGAAAATTCATTCCCTATTTACCCCCGTTTAAGTTGAAAATTTAGCTTTATCTTGACATGATTTATACTACCCTGCTTGCAGACTGAGTAGCTTCGATCTTTCCTAGATAAGTTCGGATAAGTTCCGGCCCGTTTTAATTTGTGATGTACGTAATTTTCGGAAGAAAATAAGGTTAAACTACAAACGAAACTTTCCGATTTTTTATTGATGTTTGCCTTCTGAAGCTCGATTGTCGTAGGTGAATTTTGTTCTGTTATTTTTGCTTTTTTATGGCGCCTTAAATTACTTGGATGCATTTTTAGTTCAGGTATGCAATTAAGTGTTAAGAAAGCTAATTTTTGGTGTACACGGCGTACAAGAAATGTTCTTTCAACTTGCAAAAAAAAAAAAATTCGGTGGACTGGTTGAATTTTAAAACCAAAGTTTAGATAATATTCCAAAATAAATTTTGCGTACTATGTCCTTGGTCCGGCCAAACTAGCCAAATAGTGATTGAAAAGGGAATGCCTGTTTGAAAATTTCCCAGTAACACTGCACTTTATTTATTAAGCAGTGATATAGAAGGCCATAAAATGAGACTTATATTTCATTTGGGAGCTGTAGCATTTAGCAAAGTCAAAAAACTTGGCAAGCAATGGGCCTAACAAGGAAAACATTACTCTGCACGTCCTGCACGTGCATGACGCACGCTTTTCGGTCGCGGCATGACTTAGACAACATTTTGGTGATGGGAGGTGTTTCTTGAGGACGTAAACAAGCGACGACAAATATTTTTTCCCTCTAAACTTTGACTGAATTCATTTAAAATGGTGGCGAATTGACCTTTTCACGGTTTAGTTTCTTCGAGAGACCAAACGTTAGCTCTTTACACAGAAATCTCAGTTTGGTTTCGAATTTTAAGTGAGCAGCCCATAAAAATTATACAGGAATTTAGATCAGATGGTGCTTGGAAGGTTTCTTTTTACGCACTTTTGATGTCGGCTTCCAATTAAAGTAGCCAAAGTGGCCGGAACCACTGGCCGGACCAGGGGCTTTCAAACGGAGCGGTCATTTTCTATGATGCACGATTTTCGGCAAAGCTCAGAAGCTCTCCGTTTGTCACAAGTTAGTAAAATGTTACTGCAACTTTCAGGACAAATTTCAGCTCAATGCTCTTCTTCTGAGATAAGAAATACTCATTTATGTCTTTTTCGTCCGGACCGTGATCGCAACGAGAAATTCGGCCGAAAACCATCTGCGATCAATGACAGCGATTGCGGCGCGATCGCTCCAATCGCGCCGCGAACTTCGGCCAAAAACGCTAAGCGATCGACAACAGCGATCGCTGAGCGATCACTGATATCTCGCCGCGAAATTCGGCCAAAAACGCTAAGCGATTAATGACAGCGATCGCGGCGCGATCGCTCTCATCGCGCCGCGAAATCCGGCCAAAAACGCTAAGCGATTGATGACAGCGATCGCTCAGCGATCGCTCTCATCGCGCCGCGAAATCCGGCCAAAAACGCTAAGCGATCGACGACAGCGATCGCTCAGCGATCGCTCTCATCGCGCCGCGAAATCCGGCCAAAAACGCTAAGCGATTGATGACAGCGATCGCTCTCATCGCGCCGCGAAATCCGGCCAAAAACGCTAAGCGATCGACGACAGCGATCGCTCAGCGATCGCTCTCATCGCGCCGCGAAATCCGGCCAAAAACGCTAAGCGATTGATGACAGCGATCGCGCCGCGATCGCTCCCATCGCTCCGCGAATAACGCAGCGATCGCGCCGCGAAATCCGGCCAAAAACGCTACGCGATTTTGACAGCGATCGCGGCGCGATCGCTAATAAATTTTTACAAGGGGAAATTACATGTAAATGACAAAATCAGAGATTCAAGACAAACAAATATGTCTTCTGAGCATGATTTTTGAAGCTGCAAACAGAAGAGATCAACTTTGAAAAACTGTTAGGCTGAACAACATTAGCATCTTTTCGGCTGTTATGTGTGACTCAGAAAATGGCTGACTCTGCCATTAACATTATATTATTTGTCTATGAGTGAAGTGATTCAGCCAATAAAGACAGACAGATTGAAGTTTCACATATTAATTAAGCATTGTTCTTGTAGTTTACAATTTAATAAGGCTCATACAATTGAAATGGTGAAAAAATGTTGACTCTGTACAAGCCCTGCAGCACCCCAGCAGAACTAATTGACAGTTTTTTTTAAAATATTACAATGTGTCGTTGATGTAAACACATTTGTAAAGATCAAACATTCAACTAATATAAAACCAGCATACTGTAAAATTCCGAAAATAAGCCCCACCAAAATAATATAAGCTCCCCAACCACGTAACGCAAAAAACCCTCCATTAAATCGCCCCTCCAAAATAATATAAGCCCCCCCCCCCCACCTAGGGGCTTGTACTTAGAAATTGCCCTCAAATACAAAGTAAAACAAAGCAAAAATGGTAAATTTCTTTCCAACTATAAGGCTAACCCAACCAATTTTGAAATGCAAATTTCCCTCCATAGATAAGCCCCTCAAAAAGGGCCTTTAAAAAACATAAGCCCCCGGTCTTGTTTTCGGAATTTAGGGGTGCTTTTAAAATATCGACTTGCGATTTCATAAAGAGAAATTCAGAAAAGGAGGAATTACGTAATGTAAAAAAAGTTACATGCACATACTCTTTATACTTTTACCTTATAATCTGTTATTTATCTTAATTAATCATAACTACAACAAAATTGTCAAATCTGATTGGCTATCAACTGCCCAGATTTCAGCCTTAATTGGACAGTTTAATAGGACAGTACGCGTCATGCCTAAGTAATTGGACAGTACCCGACATCACGCGCGCGCTTAAATGGCTCTTTTTTCACTGCTAGCAAAACAAAGTTTGGAATTTCTTGTGTTTTGATTTACAAAAATAGCCTATTATATCACAAATTTTGTTAAAGTTATGATTAATTGGTAACAGAACATCGTGTCGTCCAATTAAACAAATCGGATGTGATTAAACAAATCGGACTCCCGCTACGCGGTCGTCCGATTTTGTTATCACTCGTATGATTACAGACCGAATTGGACTCCACTCAGTCCTGTTACCATTACTTATGGGCATGCGTGCACCTGATTGAGCCATGAACAATATTAGGACACTAGAAAAGAAAAAATACATGTAAGTATATATTGGGTTATTCCAGAAAAAATCCTAACCCCCTGATGGAAGGCATGGTTTTTTTGACCCCCTCCCCCCTTCCACCTAAATTTCCAAAACTGCTTGAGCCCCTCCCCCCTCAGGATTTCCAAGTCCAAAGACCCCCCATCTCTCTGGATTTCTATAAAATTGTTAGACACCGTAATTTTAATGTACACTCAATGTAGAAGAATTGTTTTAGGCAGTCAGATCATCTTTTTATCAAATAAGTCTAAATTTTTTGTGAATTCTGTGTTTGTTGTGAAAGTTAAGATTACACTTTCACATCTTCTTAAACAGGCTTACACTTTTTGACAAATAAGCTCACAATTGAGTGAACATCTCTCTTTTCCTAGACCAGGCAAAATACACAGCAATATATGCTCAAAACTAACTATGTACTTGAATAAAAGGTTCTCTTCTTTGTTGATACATGTAATAAATGACTGCGAAAGAAGAAAAAGGAGACTTAGTGGGATATTACATAACGCGCTATACCGCTAGCCACACCACTTGGCTTTTAAAATGGTCACCGAACAATCACAAAGAACCATGCTTACGTACTTGTAAGGTGTGTTTAGTGGTAAATCACCCTGAAATAGCATTGACCTTGGAAAAATGTTAATTCAAGGTAATTGAATTGAGCGCTTAATTTTTTATGAATTGTGTGATTTTTCTTGATATCTTCAAGTTATTGCACGTCGCTTCTACAAAAGCACACAAAAGTAACGAAGGTGAGCCTATATATGGATGGAAACTTGAAATAAATGTGGTAAGAGGTCTGTAGTTTGAAAGAATAATAAAACTGGAAAGCGCATAGCAATTTTTTGAAAACTTATCAATTGAAACAATTGAAACATCGATAAAATTGAAAGTAGCCCCGGAGGATATATTTTTAGGTTCAGAGCCCTCCTCCCGTCTGAATTTCCAGAGCTGTTAACCCCCCTCCCATGAGAATTTTCAGAATGCCTTCCATCGTGGGGGTGTGGATTTTTTCTAGAATAACCCATTGATTGTAATATAAATTTTTTAAAAGCTAAAACTAAACTAAACTAAAAGTTGCTCAAAATTTAGCTGTGAAACTGTTTGGAATTTCAAGAATAAGTTACTATCAGGTAGAAGGGGACAACAGTTTGAATTTTCGGGACAAGTAAATTCAATATTTGCTAATTCTTAAAACAAAAACCGATTTCCTATCGTGCTATTTTTTAAAAGGTACTTTTTAGTTTCAGAAGCACTATAAATTGCTCCAAACCTTGCTCTGAAGTAGAATGACTTGTTTCTTGACATTTTTAAAATATCCCATGGCAGTTTTGGCTCAAACTCCTGCTACATACATTTTGATGTATATTGCAATGCATTTTCAATGACTTCTACTACGTACTGTTCGTTGCTTTCAACTCAGGAAAAAGGTATTGTCGGAGATTGGACGCTACCTCGTATCAGAGCTCAGATTGAAATGTCGCGCACCTTTGTTTATGACTACAAAATGAGCACGAGTGGCAGTTGTGCAAAGAATTCGCACCTCACCCAGGGGGGACGAAGGACAATGATGCCCATGTGTGTCAACCAAATTACATCACAGTGCAAAATAAAATTATCGCACAAATACTGCCCGTGAATAAATTTACAACTCTGAAAATTTTTGTCACTCCTTCCTTCAATGAATGGGTAGTTTTCTCTTGATTATTATGTTTTGCTCTGCAGTACATGTTCATACAGATCGGTTGGCAGACATTAACATCATTACCATTCGAACCCCCTGGCTGAGGTGTGAATTCCTCGCAGAGCTGCCGCTCGTGCTCGTTTTCTGGTCACAAACAAAGTTGCTGGACAGTTCTATCTGAGCTTCGATACAAGGTAGCTTACAATCCCAATACCTTTTCCCGAATTGGAAGCAACTTACAGCAGGAAAAGCCGTCGGGAATCCATTGCAAGACATCAAAATGTATGTAGCTAGCCTGTTCCAGGCTCCGAGATAGTGGTGAAAAAGAAATGTGAAAAACGCGCGGGGGCTGGGGAGACAGGCCATTTTTCTCGCCGCCACCGCCTTAGCCACCGCCCCGTTTCCCAAGGCGCCCACGTCTTAATGTTAATACGTCCTCACTATCTCAGGAAAAAATAACATACTAGCCTGTGCCAGGCTCTCAGATGGTATACACAGAAAAAAAATAATGGATTCCCATTTTTGGATATTTTAGGGTATTTAAAGAAAAACCACAAAAATCCCAAATTTGGAAGAGTGAGACAAGTCTCAATCAGGGAACTTGGTTGGGAATTCCCTGGTTGGGACTTATCTCACTTTGCCAAATTTGGGATTTTTATGGGCATTCTTTAAATACCCTAAAATATCCAAAAATGGGAATCCATTATTTTTTTCTGTGTATACCATCTGAGAGCCTGGCACAGGCTAGTATGTAGCAGGAGTTTGAACCAAAACTGCCAAGGGATATTATAAAAATTTCAAGGAAGAAGTCATTCGACTTCAGAGCAAAGTTTGAAGCAATTTATGGTGCTTCTGAAACCAAAAAGTACCTTTTAAAGAATAGCACGATAGGCAATCGGCTTTTGTCTTCAGAATTGGCAAACATTGAATTTACTTGTCCCGAAAATTCGAACTGGTGGATCCTTCTACCTGATAGTAATTTATTTTTGAAATTCTAAAACAATTTTACAGCTGAATTTTGAGCGACTTTTAGTCAAGGACTTCTGCTCCAACGATTTTTCTGAAATTTCTTTGGCATATTTATTATATCAATTAAAAGCCGAATACCTGAAATTTCAGTAAAAAATATCAGCAAAATTTTCTTGCTAGACGCGATTTTCTTTGAACAGTAGGATCGTTTTAAGCGCTAATTTCTCAAGAAATATTTACCATCAATGAAATCGGAATATTTCACATTATTACCAAATGACTTCTGTTGTTCTTTGCAAAGTTTCGCAGCCATCACATTAAAAACGAAAAAGTTCTGACGGAAAATATTTCACAGCTAAATGCTCTAGTATTTTAATTTTTTAAATTTTTCACGTACACAATAGGCCTTTTGTATTAGTTGATCACGTGACCAACTTTCGGTAAACATGAAAACAGTTCTATCTTGGAAAATTTTGTTAGCACGAGCTGAAAGATGTAACCTGTAAATTTTCCTTGTAAACTCTGAAATTTTTAAACTGTCGTTAAATCTTTCCCTTACGCACCACTATCATGAGACAGGAATTTTAACAGCTCTAGCTGGGGGATTACCTGGCAAATTGATCGGCGTGTAATGATTTACGGGTCACGCGATCGAATATTTTTTAGGCTCCATTACAATAAATTATTGATGCTTTCACCGTTCTGTTTTCAAAAATGCTCAAGAATCTATTTCAAGCTAAGACTAAGCGCAGTGGATTGAAAATGATGCCCTTATCTTCAGAAATGTTAGAAAGTTGATATGTGCAATATGGAATCGTTGTTCATAGCTTACCTTGAGGAATCTGGAGAATTCATGCAGAAAATAAACAGCAATGGGAAATCCAAGAATGCAGTGGCAGTCTTCATTAGGGACCTTAAGATACCCTGGACGCGGCGGTAAAGAGAACGGAGAAAGCTTGGAGCGAGGACGCCGCCACCTTCGCGGGAAAAACAAATTAAGATTGAGCAGGTTGGGTGGAGTGCTCGCCTGACGAGAGAGGATAAAGTAATGCTTTCGTGTTTTAATTCCATGACGTCTTTTAGAAAAACTCGTGAAGTCTTACTTGATTGATACCCTAACGATCTTTTATTGGAAGAAAAACTCCAGTTTCTCTAAAAAAAAACCAACAAATTTCTTCGAGGGAAAGTTGAGGGTATGATCCGAGTTCAGGTTATCAGCTATTTGTTGCTTTAAAACGATATGGTTCTGTTATGAGAACTTCCTGTACTAAGGTGAGATTTTGATCTTCAGACCGCTCCATCGCTGAACTGAAAGTGAACAAAATAAAATTATAAAAGTTAATAAATGAACCATGGCGTCTTGTTCAAGATCTCAATTTTCTCCGACATGTTCAAGTTTATTACAAGCCTAGATTTTTGTTTTCCAACAATTTTTATTCGACTTCTCGTCTCTTAAATTTTTCAAATACTATCCTAAAGCGAGAACGTTGTCCCCTTAAAAACAAGCAGTTATAGTGTTACATTTGTGTCGAAAGACTCAGCGCTTTCATTCTCAGCTGCCGCCAAAACACTGAACCCAAAAGGCTTGATAGCAAAAAAATAAGAGTCAATCTTGAGAGAACACCACACTAAAAGCACTTAAATGTGTTTCTTGAAGTAAAATGGATCGAAAATCCTGTACGAAAAGCAATTTCTGCACTGAAAACAAGAAAACCAACTTACCGTTTTACGAGGCGGCCAAACTGCTAGTTTTCACCGTCGCGACTTCAGGTCGACGCTGTGGCATTATGCTAATTGGTTCCAAGAATTGAACATTTCACTTCCGGTTGACGTCCTCCTCGGCCGCGTCCACATTATCTTAAGGTCCCTATTATGTTACGTGCACGCTACACAGTAATACGCTGAATAAGAAAGTAAAGTCAACCCATGATTTCCAGGATTAACATAAACAGGTAAAAGTCGAAAATATCTATGCGAAATCAAAAGCAGCAATTTGTCCGACTTCAGTCTTTGGGGTTCTTCGAGGCACTCCTTATATATATACGGTGGTCCACAACTGTTACGGCAAAACCAAAAACCTCACGGCAAAAACAAAATACCTCACTGCAAAACCGAAAACCTCACGGCAAAAAACAAAATACCTTACGGCAAAACCGAAAACCTCACAGCAAAAACAAAATACCTCACGACAAAAGCAAAATCCTCACGGCAAAACCAAAGACCTCACGGCAAAACCAAATACTTCACAGCAAAAGCCAAAAACCTCACGCAAAAGCAAATACCCACGGCAAATTAAAATCAAAGCTATTTTGTTTTTGCTGTGATGTATTTGGTTTTGCCGTGAGGTTTTTGGTTTTGCCGTGAGGTTTTTGTTTTTGCCGTGAGGTTTTTGGTTTTGCCGTGATGTTTTTGTTTTTGCCGTGAGGTTTTTGGTTTTGCCGTGATGTTTTTGGTTTTGCCGTGATGTTTTTGTTTTTGCCGTGAGGTTTTTGGTTTTGCCGTGACAGTGGTCGGCCATCATAAAAATATGTACAGAGCGTATGACATTTTCTAGGGGGGCGCTCTTGAGCCCACGCTCATTCTGGGATGTTGCTAAGCCCGTTAGAGAGAATGTATGAGAACCGCTCAAATTGGGCCTGATCTCAGGTTACTAAACGGGGGAATAAAGGGAAAAAGAAAAATAAGAACAAAAGGGGAAAGAAAACTTGTTTTAAAATTGGGAACAAATAAGAGAAATGGGAAAGAGAAAAAACGCGGTAAAACTAGAAAGGCCGCCGCTGTGCAGAAGCATTACATCCCTTCCATTCTTTGTTTCCTCCTTTATTTTGTTCTCCGATAAGCAACTGAACAAACAAATTCCAAAACTTAGAGCAGCAATTTCAAACTAATCAAATATTTCGTTAGCATTATTCGAACTTCATCTCAGCGACGTAAGAACCTGAGATAAGGCTCAATTTTCGTTTCGCTTAGGCGGTGGCCAACTCAGCGGCGTCTTACAAAATGGCTGAAATGATCCCGTCGACTTCCGCTCACTTGATCGATCGCAGCGAGGATGTATATTTGGGTTAGCTTGAGTTATAAAATGGCCATACCAGCCTTCTTCAGGTTTACAGATGTTACTGAACTTATGTAGGAATCACAATATTATATAGATGGAGAATGTCGCAATAAAAATTACGTACAACATAAAAACTGGAAAGGAAAAAATACTGAGGATATGGATTACAGCAGGAGCCCATCGCTCCTGATTACAGTAATTCGTCACGGCGGTTCAGGCCATGAGGTTCAAGAGTCATGGCCTTATCTATCAAATGCGACTCCCTGGCACTTGAACTCAGTCATGGCCTGAACCGCCGTGACGAATTATTGTAATCCATATCCTCAGTATTTTTTATGTTGTACGTCATTTCCGCCTCTCCCTTTTAAACAATTTTTATAGCGACATTCTCCATCCATATAATATTGTGATTCGCGGCACTGCACTAGGACCTCATTTTACTACTACAACCAGAATCCTTCAAGGTCTTGCTTTCCTGTGCAAATTAGGCTTTTTGCTATTTAAACCTCGCTGAGATTACCAAAAACAAGACGCCTAAAGTCGTTTCCGTGGGATGCTTTGGTCCATGGAAGCATAATGGCGTTCTATTTGAATTTGGAAAAATTAGGGAAATCGGAAAGATGTGTCATGTTATGAGCATCGATGAGTAGGTTACCTGTATGGGTTGGTTTAATGTGCTTATGACTGAATTTATAGTAGCCTGCGTGGCAGGCTACTATTTCTCCCCAATCCACATCCCCTTTTTGCTTCCTCCCTATCCCTACACCTTTCGACACCTGCTACGCAAGCTAAATTTATAGTTGTCAGTGGTCGCAAGGATGGAGTTGATCTTGTTTTGATCTATCGCTATGTAGTTATTTTCGTAGCACGATTTGGATAAGAAAAAGAAGTTATTTTGCATCAAAACAAGGTTTAGCCGTGTAACTTAAATTGGAATGTTAAAGGAATCAAGTAATGGAGAACATGCGCATAATAATGCTCTCTGATTAACCTGAACAGGAACTATATGTATAAAGATAGGTCATATCTTGGTAGTAAGTCGCCACAGGTAACTTTTTCAAAGAGAAATAAACATTGTAGTTTTAGGTTAATGGAACAAAACGAAACATCCGCTTGCTTAATCCAGGGTCGAACCCAGGGTTACAAAGTTCGATAAAGTTCCAATGTTTTAATCCAAGATGAAAGTTTAATATTCCAAGATGCTCTTGATACGGTTAAAAATTAATTGCAATGTGTTTCCAAGGTCTCAAAGTTAACATAGTTCCAATGATTACCCCTGATCCCGAGGTATAATAAGTTTCTGAAGTTTACGAAGGTCCTGATCCTTGTCCCATCCAGAAGTCCAATCCATGCCAAAGGCGAGTCCTCGATCGACGAGGACAATATTTTCGCGATTTCACCGTCAATCGTCAAGGGTACGAGTTGAAATTTGCGCGATTTTACCTCCCATCGTCAAGGTGTTTTCGATAAAAAAAGAAAAAAACTGAACTCTAGCAGTGCTCGGCAAAAACTGGCGAACTCAGAATAGAAAAATCTATCGGAAATCATGGCCCGCGACGAGACGCTACTAAAACCTTATGAAAAAGCTAGACCTAAACAAAAAAGAATCATGAAGGGAAGAAATAATTTGGCTTAGGTCGCCTTTCGTGACTTGCCGGTATCTCGAAGGATTTCGCTGGTTAACAAGCCATCCTAAACCACGAGTGGGAAAACTCAAAATTTGGCTGGGAATGTTCTGAGGAAGCAAATCGATTAAAAATCGATACAGACTTTGTACAATCTGATTGGTCGGCTTGGAAGAAGAGATAATCGATAAAGATTTTAGGCAATCCTATTGGCTGGCTTTGCAATTTTGGGTACGGAATGAACGATGATGGCACCGGATGTACGGTAAGATCCCCTCACTTCCGGAAACAAGAGTTAATATTCAAACCAAGCCACCTCAATCACGCCATCAACAACAGCACAAGAGCGGACTCAGGAGGAGTTCCCCAAACATTTTTCTCACCTAAGAGGATTTCGTCTTGCTAAGGTAGGATGTACCTCTTAGAATTAGCTGAAAACAATTAGCACAACCACGTGCATGTACTTTAAAGTGATAAACCTTGAATACAGCTGTAGTAACAATAGGAGGCTGTCGATGAGATTGCAATATATAATGTCAACTGTTTATATCATTATTGAATACTCTTGCTAAAACACTTAAACAGATATTTCTATTGAATTAAACAAATGTGTATATTAATTCTACTGTCAAATTAACCTGAAGGAAAGATTTGGAAAGTAATCCGGCAGGATTTTGAGCACAATTTTGGCCTTTTCACCAGAATAACAGGTCGGTGTATCAAGTAAAACCCGGGGATTTTGGAAATCAAAACCAAAATTGAAGTAGATTTCTGTTAATTTGAATCAAGCTCAAGCAAAATATGCAAACACACTGCTAAAAGACAGTGAGCATGTCCGGTGACCAGTGTGTCAGCAAGCGGTCAGTTTTACAACGTGTAAAACAGTATTTTTATCCCTAAAGATGTGAAAATTTGGCAACAATCGAACCCTTACTTTTAGGAAACATTGAGTTATTGATAGAACTAACTAAATAAACTCAAACCATATTCATGTACATGCCCAGGCCAGGCCTCATTGAACATTTGAACATTTTTTATTTTTATATCTCCAGCACAAATTCACTGCACTGTTTTTTAGCACACACAGCACGAGCACAGCACAATCTGCTGAAGATGGCCTGCACTGCCCTTTGCAGACCAGACATTTAGATTTAGATGTAGTGCAAGAAGATCCAAACATTTTTCCTTTTTGCAAGGTATTCAGGCCCTGGTTCTTCAAACATTGGATAGTGCTATCCACTGGAGAAATCACTACTCAGTGGATAAGTATTAAGGAAACCAATTGCATTATCCACTGGATAGAGAATTATCCAATGGACAGTGTTAATTCCACCTTTTGAACAACTGGGGCCAGGCAGTTAACATTTCTAACAAATTTGGAAACTTTTGATCAATGTTTTAAGAAATTTCCAGACATCTTGGGGTATTATCAGGTCCTTGGCTATTAGCAGATTTTTAGTAACAATAATTATCATGCCTATGACAGGTACATAATGACTGTAATTTAAT